TTAAGATGACAGAAATGAGGCTATTTTGTCTATCATATCTGTACCGGGTTTCTGAATGCACATTTTGATTATCTTCCTCCTGCCTTTTCTCAGTAATCCTGTACATTGCTTTTACTCAAATAATTATCCAATGGCCTCTTGAGTGCATTGTTCCAACCTGCCTCCACCACACCTCCAAACAGTGCATTGCAAACCCTATTTGCTGTACAAAAAAGTTATTTTTCTCATATTACATATGCCTATGTTGCAAATTATTTTAAATCTGTGTCCTTTCATTCTCGATCCTTTTACCAAAGGGAACAGCTTTTCTTTGTCCAGAAACTTCATAATTTTGAAAACTTCTTTCAAACCTTTTCATAGACTTGTCCTCTCCAAGGAAAACAATACCAACTTCTCTAATTGATTTTGATAATTGACATTTGGCATGCCTGGAAAAACCTCTTTTGCAGTCTCTCCAATGTGTCAATATGCTTTCTACTCAAGCTGAAGTCTAACAGGTGTCTTATTCAAGTTCAGCATAACCTCCCCGCTTTTCTACTCTATGCCCCCATGGAAGTCAGTATACAGTATGTTTTATAAATTGCTCTTTCCAGCTGCCCTAACACCTTTCATGATTTATATAAATATACACCAAGGTCTCTCTGTTCCTGCATACCTTTTATAGCACCCTTTATCTTTTACAACTTCTCCATGTTCTTTGCATCAAATTGTCTCAGCTCATGCTATGCACCAAACTTCATCTACCATATAACTGGCTAAACCACAAACTTGGCTTTGATTGATTGATTGATTTAATGTTGTCACATACTAAGGTACACTGAAAAGTGCTATAAAGGCAGATTGCACCATACAAAGTGCATCAGGGTAGCGGAACAGAGTGCAGAAATACAATGTTACAGCCGCAGAGAAGGTGCAGAGAGAGAAATCAGAATTGACATTTGAGAGGTCTGGGCTCCATCCTAATTGACTACAATTCCGCCTTCAACCTAGGTCTCAGCTCCCCTCTCTGTAACTGCATCCTCATCTTCCTGACCCATAGACCACAATCAGTAAGGTGACAACACCTCCTCCACCATAGTCCTCAACATTAATGCCCTGCAAGGCTGCACTCTCAGCTCTCTGCTATACTCATACACTCAAAGCTGTGTGGCCAAATGTGGCTCCCAACTCCATTACAAGTTTAGAGATGACACCACAGTTGTAGGTCAGATCTCAAAACAATGATAAGACACAATACAGAAAGAGATTGAGTGCTTAGCAGCACGGTGTAAAGACAACAATCTCTCCATCAATGTCAGCAAAACAAAGCAGCTTGTCATTGACTTCAGGAATCGGAGTGGAGGGCACACCCCTGACTACATCAATGGTGCTGAGGAGCAGTGGGGATGGTCGAGAGCATCACGTTCCTGGAAGTGATGATCACCAACAATCTGTCCTGGTCCACCCACATTGACACGATGGTCAAGAAAGCACAACAAGGTGTCTGCTTCCTTAGAAGGCTAAGGAAATTCAGCATTCCACAAGGACTGTTATCAATTTTTATGGATGCACATCACTGGAACGCATTTTTTTCCAGACATTTCATTTCTGGCCAAGACAGTTTCTCCTTTTCAGAAGATCCTCCACTTTGAGGTTCTTGTACTTCCAGCCATCTGTCCGTCTTGATTACACTTTACTACCCCTCTGGTCTCTTCCAGCTACAAGTCAAGCATGATTCTGAGCTGGCAGTTGAACTTTGAGGACGGCAGCAAGTACTGGGTTCTTGTGTGCGACATTATGGTACATGCTGAGGAACCTGCTGAGTGACCATCCTGATGAACCCTCCTGTTGGAAGGCTTTTAAAGCTTGCTTCAAGGTTTGCACAAATCTCTGCACTTGGCCTTTTATCGCTCGGTGATACGGAGCCGATCTCACCTGTCTGAGTCCATGCTATTTCAGGTACTCCCTGAACTCTTTCACCACAAACTGTGGACTATTATCACTCACGACTTGTTTGGGGTTCTCGAACCTGGCAAATATTTCCTTCAGTCAATCTGTCATTGCTTCTGCTGATACCCAGTTCATAACTGCCACTTCGGGTCACTTGGAGTGGGCATCAATGCCTCTTCTCATCTTCTACTGATGCTAACTGTAGTGGTAGCTTTGGGTCAAAATGAGTTAACATTTCTGACCTTTTTAAGGCTTGCTTCACTTTCCGCTAAGCCTACTCTCAACCTGGGACCCATTTCCATGGCCACCCTTTGCCAGCAACCATTGCAAGGGTTTTAGCACAGTTGCCATATCTGAGCGAACTTGCCATAATAATTGACAAGTCTCAAGAACAATCTCGGTTGAGACACATTCGCTGGTCTCAGGGCCTTCATGACGGTCTCTATCTTCTTGGCTGCCTTACTTAGTTCCTCACCATTCATGACATGGCCCAGGTACTCAATGGAGTCCCCCAAAAGACTCACATTTATCCCTTTTAACTTGTAGGCCATGCTCCTGCAACCTTCTTAGGGTTTCATCAAGATTTCTCAAATGCTGCTGTTCAATGGAGCCAGTGACTAAAGTATCATCCAGATAGAGTCATACAGCACAGAAACAGACCCTTCAGTCCAACGAATCCATGCCAAACATAATCCCAAATTAGGAATAAAAACAAAGTTGCTGGAGAAGATCAGCAGGTCTGGCAGCATCTGTGAAGGGAAAAA